GAAAAATAGCTAATTACGTGTATTAATGACGCAAGCTATAAATATGGCGCAAGTCATTTCAATTCATTTGGTTTAAAAATAACGTTTAAGAAAACAATTTGAAACAAATAATGTCAAATAATTTTACCAACAAGTATGTTTTTAAAAAAAAAAAACCATTTGCTTGAACGCAAATATTATAGGCTGACAAACCATTTGCTTGAACACAAATATTATAAGTGCGGACAAATCTGTTATAGAATACTAGAAGTCTAGAACTATATTTAATTAAAACGAACTAACACTATTCAATAAAATAAATAGTACTAATTGATACGAATGACCACTACTCATGTAAAGAACTGTGATTACATGATGTTTATTCACTAGTTACTACGAATATGCAAAAACAATCAAACTACTCAATCATCTTTAACCACGGATCCATCACCGATCAAGTGGTATATTTTTCCATCAGGGTGCTCAAAGAAATCTGCCACATCCAAGTGGGTAATGTCAAATTCATTGTCATAGACAAAATTAGCTTCAATGCCTTTATTTTTTAGAGATGCTTGATAAAGCTCAACCAAAAACCACAACGATAACATTCAGTTTCTGAACCCTTTGCCTTTGGCTTCTCATCTTTCCTTTTCCACTTTTGGAAGTTATTTTTCTTTGGGGAATGATTAATACCAGGAAAATTTCTTCCTTTGCCACGGCCACGGCTATGAACAGGGCCACGGCCTTTTCCACGCTTAGCATAATGGGAGGCAATGGTATAGACCCAGTGGGTAGATTTTCGTGATTTCTCATAAGCAAGTCGTTGTTTCGTTCAGCCACAAGGAGGAGAGAAATCAACTCAGAGTACTTTTTGAAACCTTTCTCTCGGTACTACTGTTGCAAGACCATATTGGAGGCATGAAATGTTGTGAATGTTTTTTTGAATCATATCATAGTCACTGATAGTATCTCCACAGAGTTTCAATTTAAAAATAATTCTGAACATCGCAGAATTATATTCAGAAATATGAAATTTCGGGCAAGAACTATATGACATGGGTGTTAGATGCTGAAATCCATTTAGATGCAATGGGTCTTGGAGACACCATTAAAGATAAAAATAAAGCATCTACCCAAGACTGTGTTAAGTCCTTGATTTTCTTGCGCCATCACCTTGGTGGAGGGTTGAAAATAGAATATCTCACATTCAAAGATCCACTTGTTTTGTGGAATGGTTTAAAGGAAAGATATGACAACTTAAAGTTGGTCACGCTTCCACAAGCACGATATGATTGGGCTCATCCGAGGCTCCAAGACTTTAAGTCTCTTTCTGAATATAATTCTGCGATGTTCAGAATTACTTCTAAATTGAAACTCTGTGGAGATAATATCAGTGACTATGATATGCTTCAAAAAACATTCACAACGTTTCATGCCTCCAATATGGTCTTCCAACCGCAGTACCGAGAGAAAGGTTTCAAGAAGTACTCTGAGTTGATTTCTCTTCTTCTTATGGCTGAACGAAACAACGACTTGCTTATGAGAAATCACGAAAATCGACCCACTGGGTCTACACCATTGCCTAAAGTGGATGAGGTGATTTCCCATTATGTTAAGCGTGGAGAAGGTCGTGGCCGTGGCCAAGGAAGAAATTTTCCTAGTGTTAATCATTCCTCAAAGAAAAGTAACTTCCAAAAGTGGAAAGGGAAAGATGAGAAGCCAGAGGCAAAGGGTTCAGAAGCTGAATGCTATTGTTGCGGTTTTTGGTTGAGCTTTATCAAGCATCTCTAAAAAATAAAGGCCCTGAAGCTAATTTGACATCACCCACTTGGATGTGGCAGATTTCTTTGAGCACCCTGATGGAAAAATAGACCACTTGATCGGTGATGGATCCGTGGTTAAAGATGATTAATGTTTTTTTTGCATATTCGTAGTAACTAGTGAATAAACATCATGTAATCACAGTTCTTTACATGAGTAGTAGTGGAACATCCTGTAGCTCATGTTCACACTCAAAATGGCCTTGCAGAGTCTTTGATTAAACGTCTGCAATTGATAGCAAGACCGTTACTCATGAAAACGAGGTTACGCACTTCTGTTTGGGGTCATTCCATTTTGCATGCAGCAATGCTACTTCGTCTCAGACCGACAAATTATTATAAATATTCCCCGTTGCAATTAGTTTTGGGTTATGAACCTAATATATCCCATTTAAGAATTTTTGGATGCGCGGTATATGTGCCTGTAGCACCGCCATATCGCACCAAAATGGGTCCCCAAAGAAGGTTAGGAATATATGTTGGGTTTGAATCGCCTTGCATGATTCGCTACCTCGAAACATTAACGAGGGATTTGTTCACTGCTTGATTTGCATACTGTCGATTCGATGAGACACTTTTCCCAAAATTAGGGGGAGAAATTGGTGAAACCAAACAGGAAATTTTGTGGAAAAATCCATCAATGTCTGACCTTGATCCACGTGCCTCATAAAGATCAAGATGACACTACGAAAGAGCCTCATAAAGAAACCCATGATTTAACCATTCATGAGGAAATCAATAAGCCCGAGACTCGAGAAAATAAGGAACTATCAATAAATTCAATCGATATTGAGATAGATTTGAATCGATTGAATATAGTGGTGGATTATGTCTTTGCATACAATGTTGCATCTAGCATTATGCAAGATAATGAGTATCTTGAACCTCAATCTGTTGGAGAATGTCGACAAAGACGTGATTGGCCAAAATGGCAAGAAGCAATCTAATCTGAGTTGGATTCACTTGCGAAACGTGAAGTTTTTGGGAATGTAGTCCAAACACCTAATGGCGTTAAGCCTGTTGGCTATAAATGGGTCTTTGTACGTAAGAGAAAGGAGAAAAATGAGGTACAAAGATACAAGGCACGCCTTGTTACACAAGGATTTTCACAAAGATATAAGGCACGCCTTGTTACACAAGGATTTTCATGAAGAGACATATTCACCTGTTATGGATACAATAACATTTCGTTATCTCATTAGTTTTGCTGTCCATGAAAAGCTTGACATGCATTTAATGGATGTGGTTACCGCCTACTTTTATGGATCACTTGATAATGAAATATATATGAAAATTCCCGAGGGATTTAAAATGCCCGACGCACATAATTCAAAGTCTCGGGAAATGTTTTCAATCAAATTGCAAAGATCTTTGTATGGTCTGAAGCAATCTGGAAGAATGTCGTATAATCGCCTTAGTGAGTATTTATTAAAGGAAGGTTATATAAATGATGCCATTTGTCCATGTGTTTTTATAAAGAAAACAACATCGAAGTTTGTTGTATTTGCTGTATATGCTGATGACATAATCCTTATTGGAACTCCTACATAACTCCAAAAAGCAATTGATTATTTAAAGAAGGAATTCGAGATGAAAGATCTCGGAAAGACAAAATTATGTCTCGGTTTTACATGGATGGAGCACATCCATTAAGTAATCTGATGGTTGTTCGATCACTTGATATGAACAAGGATTCGTTCCGACCTCAAGAAAAGAATGAAAAGCTTCTTGGTCCTGAAGTACCATATCTTAGTGCAATTGGTGCACTAATGTATCTTGCTAACACAACAAGGCATGGCATAACTTTTTCAGTTAATGTCTTAGCAAGATATAGCTCTGAGACATTGAAATGGAATCAAACACATATTGCAATATCTAAAAGGGACTACCAATATGGGCTTATTTTATGGCAATGATTGCAGTCCCGATCTTGTTGGTTATGCCGATGCTGGGTATTTATCTGAGCAAACAGGCTATGTGTTTACATGTGGAGGCACTGCCATATCTTGGCGATCGACTAAGCAATCAATCGTGGCTACTTCTTCTAATCATGAGGAGATAATTGTTATTTATGAAGCAAGTCGAGAATGTGTATGGTTGAGGTCTATAATACATCTTATTCGAGACAAATGTGGTTTGAAGTGTGACAAACTACTCACAAATTTGTATGAAGACAATACATCATGCATAGCTCAATTGAAGGGAGGATTCATAAAAGGAGATGGAACAAAGCACATTTCACCAAAGTTATTTTTCACACATGATCTTCAAAAGAATGGTGATATCAATGTGCAACAGATTCGTTCAAGTGATAATATAGCTGATTTGTTCACCAAATCTCTACCGACGTCAACCTTCAAGAAACTAGTGTACAAGATTGGGATGCGAAGGCTCAAGGATGTGAATTGATGCTCTCATCAGGGGGAGTTAATACGCGTTATACTCTTTTTCCCTTACAAGGTTTTGTCCCACTGGGTTTTCCTTGCAAGGTTTTTAACGAGGCAACCAAAAGGCGTATTTATAAACATGTGTACTCTTTTTCCTTCACTAGGATATTTTTTTCATAAGGTTTTTTCCTAATAAGGTTTTAACGAGGCACATTATCTATGGACATTCAAGGGGGGAGTGTTATAAGAAAAATTAAATTATGGTGGATGTCTACTCTTCTCCATTATCTCCATAACTCCCACTACTCTAATACTTATGGAGTTATGATTGTAACTCCATAACCTCCCCCATGATCTTCCTCTCAAATGCTTAATGACATGTTTAATGACATATTTATGCAGTGACCATTCCACATTCTTCACTTTTCATGCCTATATAAAGGCCTTGTAATAGATAGTAAATAAAACACAATTGAAGAAATGAGAATCTCTCCTCTCTTTCTCTCTATATCTCTTAGCTTGTTTTTCCTTGTTCTATATTGTTACTTTGAGCTATATTTCATAACATGATACATTATGGAACATATGTAACAACCACCCAAATAAGGCATAAAAGAAATCACAATAGAACAGAAGAGAGCAGAAAATAAAAACACAGGAGAAGCTCAGATACCAAATTGCCCAATTTGTCAAATAATAAACAAATGCAGATTCCTTGCCTGAATTGGCAATTGGCGCTCTTTGCCCTACTTTTTCTTCAGTCCATTCCAAAGAGGAAGTATTTTCTAAAAGCTGCAATCAGTCTTCTTTGTAGTTCGGAGCGACCACTATTGGCCGAGCTTCAGTTGCTAAGAAGGTAGATGAGTTTAAATATTTAATGTATTTTTTTTTTACGAAAATAATTTACATGGGGTATATTCATAAATCAGATTTAAGGGGTTTGTTTTGAAGTTCTTCTCTAAAACTAGTTTTTGAGTTTTTGAAAGATTTGAAAAACTGAGTTTGGAATTTTCTTGTAAAAAAAGTGAACTTTTTTCGACAAAAATAGAACGCTTTCTACAGAAGCTCACGCAAGCTCAGTTTTTGGGATCTCCCAAAGAAATGGCTTAAGAATTTTACTATGTTGTAAGATTTTGATGAGTCACAAATGTGGGTTATTATATCGAATTTTGGTTGTCTGAGGTTATTCATTGGTTAAAACATGAAGAGCTGACTGGTAGTTTCAATTGAATCCCCTTCGCCCGAAAAATTGTACGAAGTATATGGGTAAACAAATATTTTATGTTTATATAGAACTTCCCTTTACATAAATAAAATCTTTAGTGTAGTGCTTTTTGAACCCCCTTGTTAGAATTTATGGCTCCACTGCTACCCATTGCTAAAGATGAAAAACCAAGGAGCATTTGACGCATCATTTGTATGTGTTAGGATATGAAACCCTTTGTGAAATTACATCGTAATTTGTCTTCTTTTCGCGTGTTTAAATATCAATGAAGCGTAGCATCATCCCCCCCNTTTTTGGCGTGCCTCACTTGAGCATGGTTGAGAATGAAATAAATCTAGACTCTCATTCTATCTGGATATAAATTCTCCCTCATATTTATTGTTAATGTGCATTCACATTTTTAAAGACACTTTTTATCTGTTCTATTCATGTTGTACTAAAATTATATCTTTAAATATTTCCCTTGATGGTGATTCTTGTATTTGTGCTTTCTTCAATGAGTTGAAACTAAGATCCTTATGGTTGTTAATGCAGGCAGGAAGATAATGTTCAGATCATTCCTTCTAAAGGCTGTCTATAAAAAACTTAGTTATCATCCAGCTGTCACTAAACAGCATTGTCGTCATCCTTTCCAGTTCCATCTAGAGGTAAAATTTTCAAATCCCGTCAATCCAATTATGGGACAGTGGTGATATGCATTCTAGTTTCATTTAGTGCTGACTTTTGTTTCTGTGATAGAGGGGAATGCACAGCAGAAATAAGAAGGCGATGGAGTACATAGCTAGGGGGTGGAATGCTCTGCAGGAAGTTGATAGAGTAATTGATTATTGTGAGCTTAATGACAAACGTCTCATTCCTTCACTTAGGGTACGTTTAGTAGCAAATAGCTCGATACTGTTGCTCTACTTTTATTTATGGTTCTTTCGAAGTTAATGTGTCTGTGTCTGTGTTTTTACTTCTGTCAGTGCTTGCTACTATCTCCATTTATTTTGTGTTGTGTTGTTACACCCAGAGACATTGTTGTCAAGTTTTCATATTTATGTCCTTAGAATAGCGTGTTATCCTTGCCATACGTCTGTTTAGGAGATTGCAACATGAAGAAAGTAGCTCATTAGTCATAATGTTTTCTTCGGTCCCTTGAATAAGTCATGGAAGTTAGTTGCTACTAATGCTTGTAAAGAGAGCTGGTTCAATTAAGTAAATTTATTGATCTTTTAGGAGTAAATTTAGCTTCCCATGTGGCTGCATTTGAGGTAACCCTCTGATCCTTGCCTTGTCAAGCACCCTACTTATGCTTTTTGCTGTCTTCTGAGTTTGAAGATGGAGGATGTCAATTAGTCTTTCTGTTTTAAGGAAGAATCGAGGGTATTCCACGGAAATGGAAGAAGCAGCCACTTTTGGTCTGGTAGCTAAATTACAACAGCAGTCCTGTTTATAGTCGAATTCCTTAATGAAAATATCACCATTGTATATTTTGTTTGCTTCTTTCCCTCTCACGTGATTACATCTCTCTTATATCAATCAACATTTACTGAGAAGTACCTTCCACTTGTTAAATCTATTTCTTTTTTTGTATGTATGTTAGATTTTTTTTTGTAGTAATACTTAAGCATGTATTTCTTGGTAGAGTTTATCCATCAATATTCTTTTTCTTGGAATTTTGACTTATCAAATATTTTCCCATTGGGTGGTTATGTGTTAGACAGCAAAGGAGAATTTTGAGTTGGCTCTGGAAGCAGACAACTCAAATACCCATGCAAGATATTGGCTTTCAAAACTGCATCTCAAGTACCATGTCCCTGGGGCGTGTAAAGCTGTGTAAGTTTTGTCTATTTGGTATGACGAATGAAGATTTGGCATCTGCAAAGTGCAGACACTTATCATTGTTCATGTGCTATTGTTGCATTCTTTTAAGTAAAGACTAAATAGATCTTTATAATCCACTTAAAAAGTTTCAAGCTTTTCCTTTTTTTTTTTTTTTTTTTTCTGACAAAAAGATAAGTATTATAAATCCAGCTTCACGTCAATATTCTCTCTATAACAGGTTTCAAGTTTTTCGTTTTTGTATGATTGAAAAGAAGCCATCATGTATATGATTTAGGTTCTAAAAAAGTTCCTTAACTGATTTAAGTGATTTTCAGTTTGTTTGATCACTAGTTGCATAATACGTAAGTCTATCTGAATGATTTCCTTATGAGATGAGGGAGTTGTTAATTCTTGTTTGACTTGAGTAGTACCTTCAGCACCTTTTCATGTAGGAGTAATTAAATTGACGTGAACAATTCTTTCAGCACTTTTTCATGAAATACACTGTCAAAACTTACAGCTAAAATTTCTTCCTATTTTTAATAACAGTGGGGCTGCTTTGTTAGTGGAAGCTGCAGAGATGGGTGATCCAGATGCTCAATTTGAATTAGGTTGTCGTCTAAGAGTTGAGGTGTGGTTTTCTTTGTTGGAACATATTAATTTTGTCAAGTAGAACGACTAATCCTTACACCACCTATGAGCTCGTATGGTGTTAAAGACTCTTTCTTGGTTCGGTGACAAATAATCTGAACGCTTATGCAAACTAGTTTGAGTTTAGAACTCAAAAGTTGGCTAACATCACTTTGATTTCTGAAACAAGGTTAGCATGGAGGATCTCCCTTTTCTTGGTATGACTTGTTTACTCCTCTAATGACATGCACTACAAATTCCATGCAATGGCCTCTGCTCTTAATTACTTTGTTCTTCATTACTGCAATTCGGAACACAGCCTTATGAGCATATCCATCTATTGTGTTCTGATTTGGAGCTAGTCTGCTAGGGACATATTTCTTCAAGATATTTTACATTTGAAATTATGCAAACGTAATGCTGACACCTTCTCAATGTGCTTTTACAATGCTTACCAATTCCTCTTTGGTTGGGCAATGTAATCACATAACTGAAGCCTTTTAACATACTCTGTTGCAGTAGTGGGAAATTATTGTGTGAAACCCCTCTGTTCTATTAGTGTTAGCATGTCAGATAAGTCTGTGTTAAGCATTCTGTTAGCTTGGTCATTCACAAACTTTCCTTCTGTTGATAGGTTAATAAGTTCGGTGTTTTAAGAATATGCATTTTGCTCCATAATGTCCGTCAGAAGATTATTGGTTTAGGAGTGCATAATCAACTACCTTATTGAGTTTCCTTCGAATTGTTCTCTTATTCTGCCTTAAAGACATTCTGTAAAAGTTGACTGTTTTTGTATAATATTGGATGATATTCGCAGAACGAGTATGTGCAATCAGATCAGCAAGCATTTTACTACTTGGAGAAAGCTGTTGACCAGGTTTGTGTTTTATTAGCAAAGCTGAAGTTATTCTTCCTTTTATGAGTGCCCCAAATTTCTTACGAAAATTCTTTTTTTCAGTTGCATCCAGGTGCACTTTACCTCTTAGGTGCTGTGTATCTTACTGGGGATTGCATGAAAAAGGATGTTGGCTCTGCATTGTGGTGTTTCCATAGAGCATCCGAGAAGGTACAGAGCGTTTTCACTGCTTGTTTTGAATACTACAATTAATCAGTACATATAGTCTAATTATGTAATGACAAATTATATGCTGTTGTGAAAGAATGATTTTCATATTAAACTTAAAAGAAAAAGTACATTTTGGAAAGCATATTCGTGTTGACAAATTGTGATTGGCGTAATTTGTTTCCATCTTGTAGAAGATTGTTTTACTAGCAAATAAGTCAAGAGCCCACCTAATTTTCTTTGCTTGAACGTAGGGTCATGCTGGAGCAGCTATAGCTTATGGATCCCTTCTACTCCAAGGTAGACTGACCCTCTAGTTGTCTTTTTTCGAGAAAGGTAACAATTTGTATATATCATCAGCACAAAGACAGTAGTGGAAGCCATATTTACAATTCAAAAACAACAAAAGTTTGTCCTTGCTCTTCTTACAAGGATTCTATAACATCTAACAGTGAGACTGTCCCCTCTTGTTATCAACTTAGCTGTGTGTCGCTTCATCTTATATTTGCCTCTCATTGTTTACTTAGTGGGTTGTAGTTTCTGCTAAGTGATGCAATACAGTTGATTGAATATCTTACGAGCTTTTTTCAAAGGCTAAATGACATACCATTTTAAAAAGCAAAAATTTCAAGTTTAAAGAAAAAGACCACGATGTCATAGTTGGAGTGGTATGCTAATAGGGAATATGACTTGCTCAGATTGGAAGGAAGAATAATCGAAAACAAGAAAATAAAAAAAGGTGGAAGATGCTGATCAATGATCACCACAAAACATTAATCGAACTAGTGGAGGAAAAGGTATCATGAACTTATCACCAGTGCACAGAAATTCCTGATTATTCTTTGAGTATAGAGATACAAGATGATATACTACCCGTCGTGTATATATTGGACTTTTTGTTCTCAGCAAATTAAGATTCTCTATTTATGTGGCATCATTCAGGTGTGGAACTTCCAGAATCAATTACGAAATTTTTAGTGAAGAGGGGGTCCTCAAGCAGAATATCGAGGAGGAATGGAGTTGATCTTGAGCTTAATCCGATTGAGCTGGCCAGAGAACAATTTGAAATTGCTGCAAAAGCAGGATCTGACCTTGGATTTAGATGGTTAAAAAGACTTGAGGAGGAAGAGAAACGTCTGCTGTCTTCCTAGTTCACAATATCGGAGACTATAAGAGTTTTGATTGATTAATGTACCTACAAGGGTACGTACTAAGCACTAAGCTGTTGAAAATTATTTTATATATGTAAATCTTGTTTTTGAACAACATTCCTCTTCTTGAGGAGTGTTATATATGTTTACATATATGTGAGTATGTGTGTGTATTTGATCTATTTGATGCACTTCCAAGACAATTACCAATTCTTCTTTTCCAAGGCTGACACTGACCCTCTTTAGTATGGATTCAGATATCCTACTGAGGATTATGCCCCCATTTTGATCATTTTGATCTTTCATTTTTCTTGTTCTTGTTCTTTTTTTGGGGGTGGGGGGCTTCATAAAAATTGGAACTGCATATCTGAAGTCAAACAACCCTTATTCTTTAATCTTAGATTGAGATTGTGCTGGGAAAGAGTGGCAAATTCAATGAGTTGATGGCTGCTGCAGCGGAGAGGGACCTTGGAAATGACAAGGAACAGAGTTAAGAGCAAGCTGCTTTTTCATTGTTTGTTTGTTGTATGGCCTTGATTAGGAAAAATTGAAATTTTGTAGTCAGATTTTTGGTGCAATAAATGAAAAGAGTATTTGTTAGAATTTATTAGGAGTATACTCTTATCTGCTAGGGAAGTTTTGTTGCTTAACATCTTTAACCGTTTTGCCGAATGTATATAGCTTGATCATGGCGTGCTGGAAAGAGAACAAGAGAAGATTGATTGTTTCCTTATACTCTTAAATATATATTGAGGCTTCTATTTTTGTTCATGTTGTGATGTAATTCAAGTGGTTCCTGGTTAGATACTGACAATTTGTAGGATTCTATGGATTCTACTTTTGTTGAAACTTTAAGCTTTCTGTTGTTTTGAAACTGTGCGTTGGAGCTTCTCCCAAGCTCGGATAAAGGGAGGGATGTTGTAGTAAATCTAATTATGACTAATTCTCAAAATAGATACAGAGGATTCATATAGCTAAGTATCTATATGGCCATTTCTGAAAGTAGTGGAATTATTTAACTTCTCATATTGTAAGTTAAAGCAAATACCAATGTTCTTTATCAGCCAATTTTATTAGTCTCATTAAAATTGTGTAGAGCATTATCAGCCCCATGAGCTCCCATTTGAATATAAGTTAGCATTCATTTGCCTATCAAATTTGTCTTCACAGCTCATATTGTTATCAGTGAATATACATCAAAGTTTGCCGTAGGGAGACAAGTAACCTCATAGTGGACTTTACAGCTTAAATTTGAATTAGTCAACCCCCAAAGGGAGCACCAAATACCAGGTAGGAAACCAAGAAATAACTCTTAAACATTTAGCATACAAACTTAGATTTAATTTGGACTGTCATAGACTTGACGATAGCCTTGGTAGTTGTCCCTCCATTAAATTTTTCTGGAGTGCATGTGTTATAGATATCTTACTTTAGTCCATACTACTTCCTCTTTCAAGAATAATCAGATAAAATCTACCTTTTTTTCCTTCTAACATACAAAATAATCAGATTTTTGCTCCTCCAAATGGCAACTGCCACATCAGAATGCCAAACCAGAGAGATATTCCCTCTGCTGTACTTTTCCGTATCACTTACTATATAAGATATGAGCCAAAACTTAGGAATTCGTTGTTGAATCCAAGGGGAAAGCAGACCAAAAAAAATTCTGCGGCAGGAAGCTTATACACTTTCTTTCTGGTGAAAAAGAAGAATAAGCAATTGAACTAATTATGCTTACACTATTTCAGCTTTTACTACCTATCAAAACTTGGACCTGACTCTGCAATGAGGAAATATGGAAGTCACTTGGATTTTCCTTTAATTGAAGTAGGCCCTTTTGTTGATGATTTCTTGTAAGGTGACTTCTTCACCTTCAACTTGCTTGGAGTTGATGACGATTTCCCTCCTTGGTTCCTTCGGTTCTTGTCCTTTTTCACATTGTACATGTTTACAGCCTGTGGAATAGGCAAATCAACACAAATTAGCACCTAGGAATTTTCTTAGCACGATGAAATGAAAGAGATATACATATGTCGAGACATCAGGAAAAGGTCGCATAAACCATACCTTTTGCACATTGAGTATCTCGTGGGAGTTCTTGGCCATCAATTTGTTTAGAACCTTTTCGGTTTGCTGTTTCTCTAAGGAGCCCATTCCTGATCCTTCCGCAACTGGCAGGAACTGATTGTAAAGTAAAGTGGAGTTAGACATACAATATGTTCAAAACTTAGCAAATCTAAGCATGCGCTTCCCGTAATACAAACCTTACGGTACTTCTTGTCATGTTTTAGGGGTTTTTCCCCAGGTAACTTCTTGTCAAATTTTCCGCCACTAGCTGTTGCATTTGCTGCCATTCCAGCGACATTACCGAGTTCATCCTTGCTAATTTTCCTCGGTGCAGCTTGTGTTCCTGTTATAGGCAGTGCCGTGGCAGCAAGCTGAACATGACTGCAAATAGAAACACACCTCCGTTCATCAAAAACATGAGTTTAAGAGAATAAGGTAGACGCAAGGTTCAAGACAATTGAAACAGAGGTTGATAATTTTCTTGAATGGAATCTGCTAAGCAATTGGATACTCAATAGCTAGTCAAAACTGAATCTTTAAAACAAAGGATTCGACACATGGAACAACAAACCTAATCAATCTTCATAGACGGCAGGAATTAATAAAGAATTAAGGTTTTGCAGAAAAACAATGAGAAGTTTAGATGAACAAGACCTTGGCAAGGCACCAGCTTTTGCAGCTTCCTTCAAGTTACTTAATCGATTTTTCTGTTGCTTTTCTACTCTCTTCTTCTTTTCTTCTTGTCTCTTAGCAAAAGGATCTTGACCAGGCTCTGAAAAAACAAACAGGGAGAGGACATTTTCAGAGCAAAGTCAAAATGCTAATGCAGATATGGTCTTCCGTCACAAAATTAAGTTGCTTTCCTCTATAGTGATCATCGTACGAACTTGATTGACATAAGAGAGTACAATCAAAATCACTATCCATTGAGAACTGAGATAATGAAGTTTGACTTAAAGACACATTTATTTTAGGATGTTATGACCCTTTAAATTCTATGATTCAAAATTCTTGCCGTGCTTGAGACCTAAAAGCAAATCGAGATATTGCAGAAGGCAAGAATGAAATTTCTCTTATTTACCATCAGTTTCCTTGGCTTCAATGATTGGCACATCTTTGTCATCATTTACGCGATCGTAGCCATGTCGGCGCTTCCATGAACCAGTTTGTTCATCAAAAACAACCTTGTCTTTCTTACGTTTTTGTATACCTGCAAGACATTTTCAATCATAAAAAAATGATGAAATTCAATTAAATCAAGAATTAACTGTTCTAAAATCCACAAGACATTCACACAGCACCTTTCTTCTTCGCGAACACTTCCCATTTTGTAGGAGGTTTAGGCTTTGGAAGCTGAAATAAGCAAATCATATTAAGCTATTGATACCGCAAGTTAACTTTCAAGCAACTGGATAGAAGACGAATCAAATAAAATGAAAAGATCCAAAACCAACTCTAGCTATTGTAATATCTAGCATGCAAAAGGATATGGTTAAATTGCATTTTCATAGCTTATGCTGCATATCAAATTCAATTCACATTTGGAGATCGAGTCACATATGAGGTTTCACTTATGCTGCCCCCAAGACATTATGAGGTTGGACTATTCCTTATCAGCAAGTACCAACTCAATAGAAAATACTTTCAGTTGTTGAAAATATAGTGAATGCCCGGAAAAATGAGTTCATTGTTGCTAATACATACACTAACACACAACTCTCAACTGATTAAGAAAAACACACAATTCTTGCATAAATAATAGAAATGAGGTTTTACAGGCTTCTCTCGAGGCAATCTCGTATTTGGTTGAGGCAATTTGACTAGAGGACCATCAGGACTTTCTGTTGAAGGTAAGTTGAAGAGGGCATCTGCAATAGCTTGAACTATCTTGGTCCCCTCCTGTAGACACTCCTTCACAAGCTCCTCCCTACATATTTGGAACAAGAATATACGACGAAGAAGAAATCAGTTGAGTGTCCTTATCACTGTAACTTAGTCAAAACATCAAATTTGAGCCAACAGTGTTAAACTGCGAGCAACTTTCCTTCCCCTCGAGTTAAACTAAAAAACAACTTTAATAGAAACATTTCTTATATATTTGGAGCAAGAATGTATGAAGCATAGAAGAAATTCCATGAATGTCATTCTACAAAAACTTGACGTGTTCAATAATTAGGTGCAAATGGCATAAAGCAAATATTTCTTGAAAATCATCTTAAATACGCAAGTATAAGCTAAAGGGATCGCTAGGAAATATGTAACTCGCGAGATTACAACTTTTTGATGCGATTCAAATAGAAGCAAGACAATTAGACATCTCGCACAGCACTCCTCAATGATGATGTTGACTGTTGCAAAAATAGAATCGGCTTAATCTGCCTTTAATATTGAATACTTGGAAGTTAGTAAAGTTCTCCCCCCTTATTTCAGTAAAAATGAGTCCCTCAGACCCCGAGATATTAGCGTATTCCAACAGTAAACTTTTGAGGATCGCATCCCAAAGGGAAAACTCAAAAGGAAGCTGATTGGGGTTGCCCATCAGAATCCTCTCTACCTATTCTCCTCTATTCAGGTCCATTTTATAACAATACCAACTGATTTCCCTTTTAAAAGGCAAACTCGGAGTTCTTTAGATCTCACACTTATCTCTACATAGCTAACCAGTGTAACCCAACTAGCTAGGTATCACTTAGACCTATATTTTGCTTTCATCCTCTTATATCCACGGCTAAGTCTCCACTGATTCCGCCAAATCTTTAAGTCTTTTGACACTTCCTTGTGATTTTCGTTCTACCCCTTTACTCCAAGATGACTCTGTCACTTCCAGCTTTCGAGTAGAAAAAAGCACAGAGAACATAGGACATGCAAAAGAAGGGTAATTTTCAAATATCTCTTTTGACGATTTCCTGTAAGTTTAATTCTAGCCCTTTAATCCAAGCTGACTCTTGTCACCCCATAAATTAAAAACAACATAACCAGAGAAACGCACAGAGAATACAGTACATGTTAAATTCTTAGCTAAGTCTGCACGATTTTATGTAATTTTATGTCTACCCCTGTACTTCGAAAGGTTGACTTTATCACTCCATAAATAAATAAAAAACAACATAACTTTTAAGCAAACATTATCCAAAGGGTGGAATAAAATGCTCTAAAACCATTCCACCTTTCGCATAAAAAAGCACATAGATTACAATACACATTAAATCCTTAGCTAATCTACACGATTTCATGTGATTTTAGGTTTACCCCTTTACTCCAAATTGACTCTATCACCATATAAATAACAAAACAACAAATATTAAAGCAAAAACTATCCAAATGGTGGAATAAAATGCTCTAAATCCTTTCAAAGATTCAAGCTTTCAACAGAAAAAACGCAACGAGAATAATATTACATATTAAAGAATTAAAATTACCAAAAAGTGTGAACTCTGTAACCCCATAAATAAATAAAAAGCAACATAAATTAAGCAAAGATTATCAAAAAGGTGGAATCAAATACTCTAAATCCTATCAAAGATACAATCTTTCTAGTATTAAAAAGCACAGAGAATAACAGTATATGTTAAAGAAGGAAACTTTTCAAGAAACTGAAACCTGGACGAAGGAGGAGAAGCAAAGCTGTGATGTGGGTATGAAGCCATGAGATTCCCTAAGTCCATCTCGTATGATTCTTGAGCAGCCGCCTCCATTTTTTTTTGTGTGTGTGTGTGTGTTTTTCTGCGAAATGTCTGAAAGAGAAGCGAGGGTTTAAGAAGTTGGGCTGTCCTTTATTTCTAAGTTTTTATTTTATTTTATGTTTTGTAAGTCGATGGTTCTATAGGCGACCTACAGTTTTAAGAAAACAAATTACTAAAAGTGCCCACTAACTTATTAAATATTCTAATTTCACCCCAAGCTTTCCACCATATATAAGTCGGAAAGCCCTTAAAACGCTCGAGTATCCGTTTCTCTCCCTTTCCTGCTAGGATTGGAAATCCTCTTTTTAACATATCCATACGATTGAATCCTTGAATTTTCGAAACAGTATAAAAAGAAATACTTCGAATCATTACTATTTGACTCGGGCATATTTTAAAATGTCAAAGTATTTCGAATTGTTTGTTGACACGAACAAAGTCAGAAAAAATCTTTCACGTTATAATAGTACGATTTTTATCTAGCTATATTATATTATAAACTTGTGTTTTCCTACTAAAAAGATTTTTAATTTAATTATAGTTTTTAACAATATAATTTACTAATTATATATAAATTAATTATAAATAAGAATCTCTTAATATTAGGTGTTTAATACGGAATAACTAATGCGCACACATCTCTTTCTTCATGTCTCTCTGCCCTATTATACATTCTTTTGGTGATTTTTAGTTTAAGAGGTCTATTTAGATTAATTTTTCTAAATTTTATTATCCAATAAAGTGCTTTGAATTTTATTAGGTTGACTAGCCACGTGCAATTAAATTATAATATTAGGCTTTTCCTTTTACCACTTATGCAGTGAAAGTCCGGGCTTTGTCCGGGCCCAACATAAATAAAATCATACATAATACTTCATTATATATTATGTTACTTTTGATTTTTACTTTAATATTCTATAGATTTTCATTTGTGAGAATATCTCACTTACTTTTTCAAATTTCTTGTTATTTTGTTTCGCAAGTATTAAAGTGAAATATAAAAAATAGTACTATTGTAAATAAAGGTTCAATAATAATATCTGCAACGACCCAAAGTCAAGACCTAAAGGTTGTTACAATATACTTTGCTCAAAGGCGACATGTGAAAAGTTGATTTCAAAATTTCAATTTCCAATATTATGTAAGTTTGCCAAAAAATAAGTCGATCGAGTTGACTGTATTGTGAACTTAATCATCAAATAGGATCGACCATGCGTTCAGAAAGTGCAGAGTTTAAATTTTTGAAAACTTGTAAGTGCTTAGATAAGAGCGTGAGTTATAAGGAGCATCCATGAAAATATCCATCACTTTATTTCAATAGTGAGTTGATAATTAACAAGGTAATCCTTGTTAGCACTCTCTTACTCTCATTGTACATAATTGACATATTGCATAGAATGTAAAATAATTTTTTTCATTATAACAACAATCCGGTATAGTCCCACTAGTGGGGTCTAGGAGGGTAGTGTGTACGCAGACCTTACCCCTACCCTATGGTAGAGAGGCTGTTTCCGATAGACCTCGGCTCCCTCCCTCCAAGAACTTTCCACCTTGCTCTTGGGGTGACTCGAACTCACAACCTGTTGGTTGGAAGTGGAGGGTACTCAAAACCGACTATGGTTTGGTTTGATTTGTTTGGTGTTGGAATTAATGGCAGTTTTTTTTTGCATTTGGCAGTATTTGTGTTGAATGCGCATTGGTAAATAAATTTTGAAATTAAAAAAAAGTCAGAAAAATTTAGGAATAGTGGTGATTTTGTTGCATTTAGCGGTGCTTTTGTTGCATTTAACAGTTCTTTTGTAAAAATTTTTTTAATAATAAAGTTAAAAAATAAATTTTAAATAAATATTGCCACAAACACTTAAGAGCGTCATAAATTCCTTATGGATAGTGACTGCATTATCAAAACTTTACTTGTTTTATGTATATTTTTCCAACAATTAAGCCACACTTTCTTGCAGTTTTTTTACTATCTAATCTAAATATCCTTTTTTATTTTTATTTCACGTTCAACTTGTTAATAAAATCCCTATTCTTAAGCTTCCCTACCAAATCTCTCTCCATATTTTGACGGAAAGAGCGAATCAATAACACTCCAAATTTACAATAAACTAATATAACTATTAGAACATATTTACTTTGGTATCTAATTTTATTAATAGGGAGATTTTCACTTTTAGATCCTAAAAGGAATCCGCTTTCTGAAAGATCCTGGCTTAAGCACACTTAATCTTCGATTAATAAAAAAAATGCACTATTGGTCCTTCTGCTCGTGAATCTACACTAAAGTTAACGAATTATTAACAATTAAATCATCTAATTATCCATACGTTATGCTAAATTTGTGTAATTACTCCATATCTGAGTAATATATAGCCTTTAAAAATAATCTAAATATAACATATTTTCTAGTATTATATAGAAAAAGGCAAATATGGTCGACCAAGGGCAAACTTATCATTATACCCTGCCATTTTTTCTGTTATATAGAAAATTTTCTGTTACATAGAAAAATGAAGATGGTAGACCATTTGAGGGCATTTTTGACTTTTCATAACTTATAACGAACTTATCCTTTAGAAGTGACATATTTTCAATATAAAGGGACCAAAGACATACATGTTAATAAATTAAAGGTTAATGTGCTTTTTTAAAAATTACAAGGACCAAAATACGATTAAATATATTTGATGAATTATACATATACCTCAAATGCTGCTCTAGTCCTAAGATCAGTAAATTATGGCCATGGGAAATTATTTTCTTGAGTTCATAATTCTTGTTGCACCTTTTATTGTCTTATGGCAATCAAATAAACCTAAGAATCTCACAGTTTCTTCTTCATCTCAAAAGCAAAGGAATCTCACTGATCTGCCATTTGATATTGTAATCAACATCATCAAAAGATTGCCATTTAAATATCACATCCAAATCTGTCTCGTTAGCAAATCATGGCGTTCTCTTTTATCCACACCCGAAATCGCCACTCATATCAACATAGTTTCTGATAAAAATTACACACTATTGAGTTACAATGATGTTAGAAGCCCCAGTGATGTGAAATGGAAATTCAAGATTCCAATAGAATTGTTATCTCTAGAGTATGTTCTATTGAAACCTATTAATGGTATACTTTGTATTTGTGGACCTTTATCTTCCCATGTTTCTTATGTCTACTTATGGAATCCTTTAACTAAGGAATTCAAAGCTATGCCTAAGCCAAAAACTCATTTGGGATATGTTGCTGTTGACTTTGGCTTTGGCTATGTTCCTAAAACTAATGATTATAAAGTAGTGAGGATAGTAAAACATGAGAGAAAGCCCGATTTGCGGATTCATGAAATTTACTCTTTGAATCGCAATTCTTGGAGAAGGGTTAAGAATTCGTGCTCGGATAGTTATGTAGCTATTGATTTGGAGAAAGAAGTGATCATTGAGGTGGGTTATTCATATAATAGAAGAAGGAATCAGCAATGTGAAGATCAAATAACTTGGAGAAATGAAAGTGATAATGCTATGTTATTGACATATCCTGAAGATGATCTGGTTCTATGTTACAGAGGATATGAAGAGAGATATTCGTCTTACTATGCTGTAAGAAAATTTGCTTTTGCTGGGAGCCTTGTTTCATTCAATAGAAATCATGACAATCTTGGCTAATATGTGAGAATTCTTTAAATATTCTTGGTATTTGTGATTTTAAGTTATATGAACCGACAATGCATAGAACTTAAACTCTTTGAGTTTTGCTTTTCTTACCAAATGTTAGTAGAGTATAGTGAAAAAATGGCATGTTAGGCCTTGAAGAGCATAATCTTTGTTATTCAGTAAGAAGCTTTTGGTAGTGTTTTTCTGTTTGGATATTAAATGTAGCTAATGATCAAGAACAATAAAGAATGATCTTTTTGGCCTTTTATTTTCAACTTTTCAGTGTAGATTAATGCTTTTTAGGCAATGCCAAAGAAGCTTTTAGCATCTCTTGATCATTTCTATATACTTTAGTTGGTTAAAATTTAGATGCTGAATATTCAATAGATTGCAATATAGATTTATATAATCACCATTTTCATTTTTAGGACAACGACACTTTCCTGGACCCTGCATAAATGTGGGATACTTTGTGCATCAGGCTGCCCTTCTTCAACGGATATTAGTCTTATTTAAACAAAAGAAAGAAAAAAAAGCATTGTTCGAGTAAGAACGTGCTGCTCTAAAAGCAACAAACTTAAAACTTTAAACAACTACTCAGAATTAAGAAACTGATAAAGTTTATACTTCCAGGAATTCATCAACAACAGCTAAAACCAAGGCAAGGATTTCCTTTTCATAAGTGGAAAGCAACAATTTTTTCCCCATGTAAAGCTTCACTAAAGAAAGCAATAGGTCGTTCTTGTTTCAAACTGCACCAACTCCTGATTCTGAAGCATCACATTCAATTACAAATGTATTTGAAAAATCCGGCAAAGCAAGAACATGAGCTTGTCTCCGAGGGCAAAGCTACACTCTAGTAACGGTGGTCAAATGACCAACCTTTATCGAAAAACTACACTGCGTATATAAGTAAAATATTAGGTTTTAGAGGTATATAATATATATTGAACACCCCTTGTCGGAAAGTTTCTTTTATTTCTTTCAAATTTGAACACCCTTGAGAGCCTTTTCAATAGTAGAAGTTCGCAAAAATCCATCCTTTTTGAGCATTTGTGTAAGAGGATCAACTATCTTTCCATAGTGTTGAATGAATTTCCTGTAATCGCCACAACGTCCCAAAAACTCTCTCATGACTTTAGGAGTTGTTGGTTTTGGCCATTTGGTGATAGCTTTAATATTTAATATTTAGGGTATTATCACTTTTAACTCGCGCCAGAAATTATTTATATTAGATAACCGAAAAAGTGTATAAAAGTTATACGTATAATTTTTGTACATAACATACAAAATATATATATATATATATATATATATATATATATATATACAAAAAAAATTATATTTTTTCGACTATTATTTTAAAAGCCGCTATACAATATTATTTTTGCATTTTCAGGATCCACTGCAACACTATTGTTGGCTATAATATGACCAAGGTACTTAACTGACCTCAAGTTAAAAAGACTTTTTTGGGGGGTTGACAAAAAACTTATGAGTTCGTAAAAGTGAGAAGACAATTTCCAAATGCTTTAAATGATCCTCCCAACATGTACTATAAATTAGAATTTCGTTAAAGAAAACCAAAACAAATTTTCGGAGATGATGTTTGAATACCTCATTGATCAGAGAGTGGAAGGTAATTATTCATGTCTTTTGTTAAATTTGTATTATTACTTCATATTTGAATAATATATATAGTCTTTAAAAATAATTAAGGATTTTGGGAATCTGCTTAGTATGGCTCTGATCCTATGGGAGAATTTCTCACGCTTTTCTCATTATCAAATCAACTATATGAAATATGCCTACATATATTACAATAATAACTAAATTTACTATAATTACAATATTGACATTTATTAGAACTCATAATGATTAGCACCTGTATTATCCTGCACAAAAAACAAAACAATAAAAAATGAAATGTCAGATTTCCCAAAATTTAAGGAAGGAGAAAAAATTATAGCAAGAATGAGCACAAGGCATTATTGGACAAATTTAAATTATACACAATTATGATGTAAAGAATTTTACACTATTGGTGCAATTAAACTTATTAAAGCATGCTATTATTATATTATCTAGTTTACTGTATTGAGCTTGCTATGGAAAACTATATGTTACGTTTTTATAAATCAACTTAACAACGACATGCCTGAAATTATAAAAGTATAATACTAGGCATGCCTGCTAGTGAAAGTTTGGCTACTAGAACAACAAACTAAGAATCATGGATATTTAAGAGGATTATAACCTAAACTTAAAACTATTTATTTCCAAAAATAACATAAAGAGAAAGAAAGAATCTAACTTAAGACTACATTGTAAAAGAAGGCAGAGCCATAAAAATTAGCCACTATTCAAGAAAATTACAAAGTCAATCTATTAGAAATCAGATGGAAGAGTATGAATAAAAAAAGGCAGTCTGGTGCACAAAACATTATGTGTTCATGCTGGATCGGAAAAAGAGTCGCACCCCATGGGGTATGATGTATGCAGCCTACCATGATACAAGCATCAGTGACTGATTCCATGACTTGAACCCATGAACTATAGGTCGAGACAACTTTACCGTTCCAAGGCTTCTTTCGTGGAAGAGTATGAATAGTTACGAGTTAATTACTCTATTTCATACTTGACCTCAAAGGGCAAGTCTGGTGCATATTTCGCGTTCACGCTGGGTTCGAGGAAGGGCCGCACCCTAAGGGGTGCGATATAGGCAGCCTATCCTGATGCAAGCGCCACTTTCACGACTTGAACCCGTGACCTATAGGTCTCACAGAGACAACTTTAGTGTTGCTCGAAGGCTCCTTTCACGGAAGAGCCTGAATAGTTACAAGTTAATTACTCTATTTCTTAGTTGACCTCAAACATATAGGACCCCAAGAAAGAAGTAAATCAAGGAAAAGATGTCTTACAATCTCAGAGATATGGACCTCAACAGAACTTGCATAGTTGTCTTGCATGTCCTGCTGAATTTGCTTAGCAGAATTCCCAACAGATTCTTTACACCTCCTTATATCAATCAGAGCAAGTGTGATTATATCTGCAAAATCTTGTGGAATTGAATCCAAGAACCTACAACGTTCAAGAAATAGTCGCTCAAGGCATGGAAAGTGATCACAACTGGCTCTCCAGTACTCAAAATCCAAATCTTCCAGGAGCAAGAGTTTCAAGCTAGGAAAGCCTTCATCTACTACTTCCCACGCCTCGCCTACACAGGCACGATATGTTAGTTTAAGGGCCTCGAGTTTAGGCAGCTTACCAACAATGCTCAAATCATTCCATCTCAAAAAAGTCCGACTAAAAGCTAACTTCTTGAGGTTTTGTGGAAAAACATCTAGTGGTGGAAGGAGCAAAGGCCGCAAAGTACCTGAATGTGGTCGTTTTCGCCCTGTAAACCTTAAGTAATCTGAAGGTCTGCTTTTCAGAAAGAAAGGACGAACCGGAAGATAGTTATAATACAGATGAAACTCCAATTCCTCTAGCTGATCTAAGTAGCGAAAATCATAGATGTTCCTGCAACTATAATAGTCTTCCGCGATGCCATGTATTTGCAACTTCTTTAAATTGGGAAATAGTCTAAAGACAGAACTAGTACAATACCAAGGATTCCATCCGGACAAACACTGCAAATTTTTCAGGACCAAACTTTTCTCTGTAGGCTCATGATATCGCAAGTAATTCCAATCCAAACAGAGGTGTCTCAATTGCTGCATCGCCAAAATTTCTGATGGTAATATGAAAGGATATGGCCGTTCCCATTTCCAACGCTTGAGATGTGGAAAATTGAGTATAAAAGTTTGCAGATAACATAGGCTAGATATTGACGGAGGAATGTCTATTGATGAGGGAATTTCTTTTCCTATATACTTCTCCACAGCAGGAGAAAGAGTCAAAGCAAGGTATCTCAAATGAATTAAATCAAGTATTCGGCTGGGGAAAGTATCACATCTCACTAAAGCAAGATCTAATATTCTTACTAGCTTGAAACGCAACGACTTTTGAACGAACCAGGTCCCTTTAAAACAGATAATGGAACGGACCTCATTATCAGGATACATATCCAATTTTTTCTCAATTATACCGTGAAACACTTGGTTCAATTGGATACTGATCCGACCTTGACTGTTAGAGGAAAAATGCATGGATTGCTCTAATGGATTTTGATCATCGTTTTCTCCAATAACATTCACAAAATTCACATTTTGAGCTTCCCTCAAGCAGAGTTCACGTGTCACATCATGCATTCCACAACTCTCGATTTTCCCATCAAAACTCAAACTGTGGATGGAAATTAAGCTTCTATCTATAAGATCTTTTAGATATTTTTCTGCCACTTGTTCTATGCTTTTCATCTCTTCTACCTTCAAAAATCCCTCCGCTGCCCATAATTCCATAAGTTTACTGACAAAAATTAGTTCATCCTCTGGGAAGATTGCAAAATATAAAAAGCACGGTTTTAGGTGATTAGGCAAGTAATGGTAACTCAATGCCAACACCCTCATGCATTGGGCATCAACATCTGTGCTTACCACTGAACTTACATTCTCGGCAACACTTTGCCACTCATCCAATGCTTTACCGATTTTGGAGAGAAGTCCAGCAATCACAGTAATTGCTAGAGGTAATCCTCCACATTTTAATGCAATTTCTTTCCCGATTATGTCAAATTCAAGAGAAAAATATTCTTTCTCAAAGACCTTTCCGCATAGTAAATTCCAACTTTCATTAGAATTCAGAAGGCGCATTTGGTAAGGAGGTTTACCTGAGCTAGCATATTCTGCCACATCCACATTCCGAGTAGTCAGGAGTATCCGGCTTCCATTATTACAGTCTGAGAAACATAGTTTTATATCATCCCAAGCTTCTGTAGTCCATATGTCATCTATGACTACCAGGTACCTCCCCCCTTTTAGAAGCTTTTGGAGTCGATCTGCTAGTTGCCCAACATCTTGCTGACCATAAAATTCATAAGTCTTTACACTTATAGAAAAAAGAAGGCCTAGGAGTACATTTCTCGCACGATACTCTAGTGAAACAGTAGCTTTTGCACGAATGTCAAAGTGAGACATAATGAATGGATGAGTGTAAATTTTGTTAGCCAAAGTTGTCTTGCCGATGCCACCCATCCCTACAATCGAGACAATTTCTAGTTCACTTCCCCCTCTGGCAAGTTGATCCTGCAGCATCTCGAATTCAGTTTCATGACCAACCATCGTATTCTCAAGCTCTAAGGCAGGTTGAGATACATCGGCAAGAGACAAATTTTGTGCTTTCAGATCTTTGCTATTGGTATACATGTTCTGCACTGCCATCCACTTGTTCATCACGTAATCAATATGTCCTACTGCTTGTTTCAAGAGGGAAAAAAGTTCCCAAGAATCTATTTTTCGTGTAACTGCGTCTTTTGCTAAGAAAACTTTCCTTGATTCAGATTCAACCATATCTTCCGTGTTACACGCTAGCTCTATGATTTCAGCTTCCAAACTTTTCAATACCTCAAGATCGCCTTTCGTTTTCAATGGTTTCTCCAAAATAGATCTCAAGGATTCAAGCTTTTCATAGAACGATTGGAGGTTAAGTCCAGTAAGTTGCATTGATTGTTGTATGGTGCTCATAAGGGAAGTAACAGCAGCATAAGCCATGTCCCTCTTTCTCTCTTTTGTGTGTGATAGAAGATAGAATATCTCTTAGTATGATTACAACAGATTGCCACAAGTTCCTAATTTCTCAATCTAAAAACAGAACAAACAAAGGTCTTTCTTTTATTTCTTTCATTATTTGACATGTTGCCAGCACGGCAAACAAAAAGCATCAAAGAAGTTGAGACTTATCATAACGTAGTGCCCTCTACTCTCTAGTTTCTATCAACCAGGTGAAAGTCCAGCTCTAGTTTTAGTTTTAGTACTTACTAATTAGAATAGAAAAACCAAGATTTAAGAAGATCAACAATATTAAAGTGTTAATACTGTACTCTTACATGTTCGTCCCAAGAGTCGAACTAAGCAAACTTTTAACGAATATTTTATAGTTTATGCATTCAGCATAAGCTTTACTGGTTATTAGTTTATGAAGTGAAACATATCAGTAGTGAAAATGATAAATTTACTAACAGGAAAAAGCAGAAAAATTCCAGGTCACTATCACATCATAAAAGTGTCCACTAACCTATAATCTAAACGAAAGAAAAGACCAGAGGCCTCTCTCTTCATTTGTTTTTCCAACTTTTTCTAAAGATAGGATTCTAACAAGAAAAAGTAGAAAATAATGTGATCGTTAATTATCTTTGTTACTGTTATTTTGTTGAAGGGGAGCCTTGACGTAACTTGTAATGTTGCTGTCACGTGAGGTTAGGGGCTCGAGCCGTGGAAACAACCTCTTGCAGAGATGCAAGGTAAGGCTGCGTGCAATAGACCCTTGTGGTCCGGCCCTTCCCGGGACCCCGCGCATAGCGGGAGCTTAGTGCACCGGGCTGCTCTTTTTACTGTTATCTTCTTGCTTCTTCCTGCACTTTGTTCAATAGGATGAATTCGGACCCCCAATGCTGTGTTAATAGATGTTGTTAATCTTAGTTTAATGTGCAAGTCCTTGATATGCTATTCTGCAAAATTTGTTTAAACTTTGTGTTTATTACCTTCAGTGTGGAGTATAGCGCCAAATCTAAGTAATATTTTCAGTATATTGACCAAAAGAGGAGGACAACAATACTTGTTCCTTGAATTAAAAATCTATAGCTCACCGGAAAATGCTGCTCAAGGGGGTTATTTGTCCCATTCAAAAGCGGGTATCGATTAAAGATTAAGGGGATTTAGGCCTCATTTTTATTTTTTTTAAGATTAAAACGTCTGAATCTGAATACACGTCTAAATATCAATATGTGTATTAAGATTAAGACATTTGAATCTGAATACATATCTGAATGTTAAGATATGTATTAAGATATGAATACTAAATGATTAAGACGGTTTGATTTCTAACATTTGAATGTATAAAATTTACTTTTATTTAAAAATTAATAAGCATAAAATTCAAATGAAATACTAATTAATCTAATATTCCATCAATAAAATATATAGCTTTTTAAAATATAATAGTTGGTGGTGATGGCTAACGGTAGTGCTTGTGAATGTCGACTAAAACCGATGGTTGGTGGTGGATTTGGTTGATGGTGGTAGTTTAGGGTAGTAGCTAGTAGTGATTAGTAGTGGTAGCTATTATGATTGAGGATGGTGGTGGTGGGTGGTGATAGTTAATAATGGCGGGTAATGGTGATGGTAGTTGTGATTCAGGAAGATGGTGGTGGATGGTCGTAGTTTATAATGATGGGCAGTGCCATCTATGGTTGTTGATGGTGATGGGGTGGTAGTTGAGGTGGATGAGTGTTGGTTGTCGTTGAGAATGATGGTGGTGGGAGTGGTGGGGATAGTGGGTGGTGGTAGTCGACAATGGTGGCAGCTATGATTGAGTATGATGGTGGTGGTGGTGGGTGGCATGGTAGTAGTTGATAATGATAGGCGGTGACGGCAGTTAATAATGAATATGGATGATAACATCTTAATGAAATTAAATCTCTATTATAGATCTTAATCATACAAACATATTCATACCCATACCCATTAAGTGATTATGAAGTAAAAAAAACATACACTTAACGATTAAGATCTCAGACTTAAAAAACAAACGCACTTAATGCCTGAAATCTAAATGAATAAGATTCAAACCTCCATTAAGTGCAAACAAATGAGGTACTTACTTTCATTTATTTGCATATTTTCTGAATTTATTCACTAGTCATTTCAAGCAAAAATGAAATCCATTTGGTTAATAAATGTTTTAGCGTTACCCCTTTGCTTTAAATCCCAGAAAGGGGAACTATATATATATATTTATATATATATTTATTTATTTTCCTTCAATTTATATGGAGAAATCACCTCTGGCGCACAAGTTAGAAAATTTAGATAGTATGAGCCCGTCCTTCACCCTCCACCCAACTATATACCAAGCTTTGTTCGCAGCAGAAACATGATTCGAACTCAGGACGTGCGCTTAATCCACACATCATATGTTGCATTCTACTGGACCAAATTGCAAGGAAATCACACACACACACACACAGAGAGAGAGAGAGAGAGAGAGAGAGAGAGAGAGAGAGAGAGAGAGAGTATTCTATTGTCCAAAAATGAGTCTTGATTCTTGAAAATGGCAGATACATAGTTAGTTCTCTTTAATTTCAAGCTATCATTTGTGCCCATGATGTGAAGCCATGGTCCACTAATCTTTTGATGTGATGACCAACAATCCCAGCGCACCTATCAATATATACTGCATAAGGGGGGAAAATGCCTAATATTAGAATTTCATTGCACCTGGCTAGTCAATCTAATAAAACTCAAACACTTCATTGCATTTAGAGAAAGCAGAATTATAAGTTTGATTCATAACAAACCTTGATAATTGGCTTTTCCGTCATGATTATGGTCACCCATCCAACATAAGGCAAGAACCTGAAATGGACAAGCCACTAGTTTAGCATACAAGGTACAAATAGGTAATGCACAAAGGGCTGACAAAACACACACCCACAAAAAAGGGATCATTATACGAATGAATGTGTGTCTATAGTCTATACGCACACACAAACACACACAGCTTATACTCGAGAAGTTCATAGTGGTCGGAAATAATGATAAATTTCTATACCAATTTTAATTGAAGAGGAAAACCTCACATGGCAAATGGTTAACAGTATGAATTCTACAAACTTATTATGGATTTAGTGGTAGAAAATAATGATAAACTTCTATACCAATTTTAATTGAAAAGGAAAACCTCACATGTCAAATGGTTAACAGTATAAATTCTACAAACTAATTATGGATTAGTTGTTCGGTTGTTGGAGTTTGCAATATTGCATTGCGTGGGATGGAAAAGGAGTGCATATTCAAACAAGATAAAGCTAAGAAAACGAGCACCGAGGCAACACCACTAAAAGCACCTCAACCGGGTTGAACCCAACCTAAGCACAGAGCCACAGACCGCAAAAGATGAGAAACCAAAGATCTAAAGAGCACATTAAATTGTCAACTCACCCAACAGCTCTCCCCATAATGTGATGCCGTTGCAGCCACAGTTGACCATGAGCATAGAGAAGTCTGTCATCACCAAAGTTGTTGTCTCCTAAAGATATGAATCATATACAAACAAGAAAATTTAATAGTTTTCATTGAGGACACGCAACGAAGGCATTTTCATTTGACAAGTACAAAGAAACAGAGCACTATCTGAAATAAACTCTTTGATAATTGAAAAACTATAAAATGATTGATGTGCATAATTAATTTAAGATCATTGATGCAGAGAGAGAGAGAGAGAGAGAGAGAGAGAGAGAGAGAGAGAGAGAGAGAGAGAGAGAGAGAGAGAGAGAGATCCACATAACACATCCTTGACCTTGACTTAATATGCATCATACAATTGAGTACCTTTTGTAAGGACATTAACTTCTCCAGTGTCTTGGCGCTCATGAACCTACAATGGGAAACACAAAAGATTAATGGTTTTTAATTTACCAAGAGGAAGAAAAAGTGGGCAGACAATAAGTGCAGCTCAGAAGCAAAACTAGTCAGTACAGGATTCACATTCCTTTTTATCATTATGATTCAACAATGTTTTAGTTCCTTCTCCCTTCTCCTTTACAGGGTTCGTACTTGGATCGGGTTGGAGGTAAATAAAACCAAGTGTTACTACAAATTGAAGGAGCAAGTGAAGAAAACGATAGGAAGTTACTGATAGTATTTGCCAAATGCTATTGTCTGTTCTCTGGTAGACTCATTTAGCAGTTCCAGAATTTCCTTTTTACAGATGCACTTCTCTCAATTATCAAGAAAGAGAAAAAGGGCAAAACACCAGCCAGACTCTATACCAATCCTACTTGGATTGGTTACATACATAAAAAAGGAAGAAGGTCATAAGTCACTTGATTCACTTCAGAATGCCACTTCATTTATCACTCCCTTATTCTTCTTTTCCTTGTGAAAGTCTGATAGACATTTGCACATTCCTTGTTTTACTACCAGTACACATAAAAATTTGATGCAGGCAATCAAGATTCAAGATCCTATAATGAAGCACAACCAGATGAAAGAACATTTTGTATAGAGAGACTACTTCCCAACATACCTTTATGACGCGATGAACAATTGGAATTTCACGTCCCTGTGCAACATAAAACATGCCATCAGCAGAAGTAAATTTCAAAGGTCAATAACAAATAACGGCACAGATTTCAGCTGGATGATTTTGACAGATTGAAGTCCAATCGACGAAATAGAAAGCAATCATGAGCAAAACTAAATGGGATCAATCTTGGACTACATCATTACAGTTGTGTTTTCTAAAAGAATACCATGTTTGATGATCCTCCACCATTGTTTCAAGCGTTATATCATTACTTAGTGCTCTTTTTTCTACAAATTTCATCCTTGTGCACTTCACTGTAAACAACTGAATTAGAGTTGACGAATTAAACACATTATGAATTGATCTCCTCATTGCACCTCTCTTTCTCTCTCTCTCTCTCTCTCTCCTCTTAAATTTCTTTCTCCTTTTTTGCTCATTTCTTCCACTAACTTCTCTCCTATCTCTTTTTTATAAGAATTTTTTTGATAAGGACTTCTCTCCTATCTCCTATTTTAGTACTAAATCATCATCATCATCGGAAGCCTCTCAAATAATAGTTGTCAATTTCTGAGTATCTATTGATTCAGGTCTATCATATCCTATTTAATGATCATTTATTCCTAGCATCAGATTCCTAGATTTCCATTCATCCCAAGTCTCCAACAAAAATATGTACGTTGATTTCATTAACTTATTTCATTAGTATATCCTCAGCAGCTCTACTTTTTGGTATACTTCTTGTATACGGGAGTTTTTTCTCCCTTTTGATTAATACAATTTACCTTATAAAAAAAAAAGTATATCCTCAGCAGCCGTCATAACTATATCTGAGCAAATATAAAACGAAATGAATAAAAGTCTACCAACAGTTAGGCTTTTAGATAAGGAGGTTCACACAATTTAACATGGTATCATAGCAATGTTGAGCTCCTGATTTCAAGTCTCACCCCTATAACAAAATATCTTCACGTGCTTGACCCAAGAGAAAAGAATCTTCACGTGAGGGGTGTGATGCATATCTAACTGAAT